AACAAAATGCTGGGTTTCTAGAACTTTCTCCACATAATTCTCAAGCAAGTGTTTCTCCAGGGTCCTGAGAGGTCTTTAGTATCACATATCCAGGATCTTCCAGGAAAAAAAAAGGGGGGAGAAAAGGCTGTCTAACCTTGTTCAGAAATCATTTTCATTTTCTGTAACTCGTACAATATCCTGAAAATGAAAGTTAACAGCAGTCATGTATCATGACCTTCCTGGGAAGTTAGTGTGGGTTCCAACAACTGGCCACGTTCTAATTATGAGCCTACAAGCTCCTCTGGGCCTCTGTTTCCTCATCTCTAGTCTTTTCCATTTCGCATTTATTGAACATGCACATCTTTAACTCCGTGGTAGTCAGCACAAAGGTCACCATCCCTGTCCTTTAGGCCATGGTATGACAGGGAAGCTAGACAACAAACAACTGCCAGAGTCGTCCCAAAAGAGATAATTGTCTCAAAGGCCTGAAGTGGACATTTCTGTGGATCAAAGTTTTCTCCAACAGAATTTTCTATTGTGATGAAATGTTGTCTGTACTGGCCAGCATGGTGTCACTGGCCAGCTAGATAGGGCCTGAGATGCAGCTATGCCGAAGGTCACTAGCTCTGAACTCCACTTCCTTAACTTAGATCTGAACGGCTCCTGGCTGTGCTGTGGTGTTGGGCGTGTCCACAGGCAGTTAGGTGACCCTGCAGGGCGGTGGGGGGTGGGGGGTGGGAGGGGTTCTGAGGACAGGAGACCGGGAGACAGGTGGTTTAAGGTGGGTGGTGTGGAGTCAGTGAGTCTGAGGAGTGAGAAGAGGGACTCTACACCTCCAACCCATTGATAGAATTTCTTAGCATGTGAAGGGTCAAGTATGGGGTGCCACCTAAGAACCCCAGGGCACGCCCCCCCCCACAGTGAAATACTATGGCACGTGAGAGGGGGCTGTGGACAGGACATCTCTTGGATGTAGAAAGTGACAGAAGCAGCTTCTAAGCCGAATATAACATGATGCTCTTCTGTACACCAAGGCTGGAAAAGGCCACGTTTTTGGTTTTGTGTGAAGAAACACTGGAAAGAAACGAAAAGTGGCTAAGCTACAGAAGTAGTGGGATACGGGGGACCCTCCCTGCAGCATCATAGTTTGATCCCCGCCAGGGAGCTGACCCACAGGCCACAGCAGACCTCTCCTGTCTCACCTGCTTCTCCCCTCAGCAGTGTGTTTCAGTCAGTCCACCTCTTCTCACTCTATCTCTAGTGAACCCTCTCACCCTCTCTGACCCCCTGTTTCTGGCCTGTATCCCAGTTCTTGTATGTATAAAAAAATAAATCTTAATATATATATATTATTTATTTTATATATATATATTTTAAAGAATAAGATGAGGCAAAGGAAATAGAGACAAATGTGGGAAAAGACTGTAATTATAAGCTTACATTTTAAATCTTGTAATTTAAGCAAAAAAAAAATAGCAAGTCTTGAAATGTATCTATGCATTTGATACAGAAAACTGAAGGCGGCCAAAGGCAAGATCAGACATACTTTAAAGGTCACATTTCTATCTTACAACGAAGTCCTTGGTCCTGCGCACGCGTTTGTACCCCAGAAATCGCACTGAGAGCCAACTTCTAAAATCTCCATCTCATTTCTAGCCCTCCCCTGCCTGTCACCTCCTTTTTCCTCAGACTGTGCTTCCTTCCTAGCTTTCCTGTCCCCGGGCTACAAGAGAAAGAGACTCCTGGGTTGTTATTCTTGGAATACTTGCATCCTAAGAGGGGCCTCTGAGGAGAGGGCTTGGCCAGTTGCTGGACCCAGACACTCTATTCAGCGGGGATCCAGCAATGCCTAAAGAGCCCACACCTCACTGTCGGTCCCTCCAGCTTTTTCCTCTCCAGGGCTCACTCTTCTCTCATGCAGAGTGCTGGGCCACAGCCACGCTGGAGAGTTGCTGGCCAGGAGCTGGAGAGTTGCTGGCCAGGACTCAGGCCTCCGGGGCCAAAGGGCTAGGCAGAGGCAGACAAAATCATGGCGCCATTTTGATTAGAAATATTTCAAAGGCCTCCCTGGTGGCGCAAGGGGTTAAGTCTCAACACTAGGAAGCTGTCTGCAGCCCCTGCAGCAGGAGTTCGATCCCCTGCCAGGGAGCTGCCCCACATGGCGCAGCAGACCTCTCCTGTCTCCCCACTTGTCCACTCAGCAGTGGATTTCAGTGGATCCACCTGTTCTGCTCCCCATTGTCTCTGGTGAATCCTCTCACACACACATACCCCCACTGCCATCACACCTCTGGCCTACACAGCAACTCTTGTATGCATAAATAAATCTTTTTTTAAAAAATTCAAATTTCTATTAATATCAGGTCACTTTGGTTGGTACGTAGGCTGTTCCTTTGAGTAAAGTGGAGATGTGTGTACAGAATAAGAGATGGGATGCAGGAACAGCCCCAGACTGGAACTTAGTTAAACTGTCCTTTTTCTTTCCTGAAAAACTATCTGAATTTGCTTCGTAAGCATTTCTAGAACATTTCATACAGCTGTGTGGCTTTAAAAAAAAAGTTCAACCGAGATGCCCTCTTCCTTCTTTAAAGAACATTAATGAAAATGATAGTGATTGCTATTTGCCACTGACTTACTCCAAGTGTTTATGTTTACTATGTGCCAGATGCCAGGCATTTTACCTGGCAGGCCACACTGGCTTCTAGACTCCAGAACTACTACTGCTGTGAAACCACCAGAAGAGAGGCGTGCTGTAGCTGAGGGTGCTCAGGGGACACAGCACAACCAGTCCAGCAGCTGAGTCACTGGGCCCTGGGGACTCCAGGCATAGCCAGGAATCTGTGTTCTGTCATTTTAAGACGCTTGTAATGTGCATCACTGGGCAGCAGGGGGCGCCATGACACCACCTGTGGTTAATTGCCACCTATGGTCTGACTGGGCGGCTGGGCAAAATCCTTCATTGATTGTGGAGTCTCTTAGGATTTTGTGGATAAGGGAAGAGTTTGTGTCAGTAATGATTGTGATAACCAGGAGACAAAGTGGAGCGAGGATGCAAAACAGATTGATGAGCAAAGTGTCAAAGGTGTATCTGGGGTGGTGGGACAGAATGGGGTGGGTGTTTGGCAAGCCCCTGGCTGGGATCCCTGTGGCGAGTGGGGAGAAACTGGTATAGGACCGCATGGTGGGACAGCATACACGCCTCTGTCCGAGCTGCTGGAGACTGGACTCCCCCGTGGCCTGGAAAGCAGCACAGCTGTACTTTGTCAGCATGCGATGGTCCTTGTGCTTCCTGCTCTTCCAGAATCTTCCAGCACAACACACACAGAGTCTCTACTGTCTTCTCTTTTCATGGGGTCTTCTACCAGGAGTATATCTATGAACAGCATGAAGCTATCTCTGAAGGAGGCATTAACCAAAAAATGTGTTTTGTCAATTCAAATGAAACACATTTAGGGGAATCAGGCTGTGGTCCGCATATGTGGCAAGAGTCATTTCACCCGCGAATTGAAGACATGTAATTCAAAACCTCTCACTCTGTAAGTGAAGACAGAGGCATGGGACAAATCACTGACAGAAAGGGGCTGGACAGGGGGCTTTTACCTGCTGCACCACTGTTTCCCCACCCCATAGGAGGGTGTAAGGTGTAAGGTGTGTAAGAGTGTGTATTGCTGAACTGATGCGAGGTCTCTGATGATGTACTCTCCTTCTGATCAAAAAGGAATCTTTTGTAGGCCTGCTTTCAATTTGAA